AATAGTAAATCTATTTTTTGAAAAATGCTAAAAAAGTTTTGTTATTTCCCTACTCGTAACAATTGTATAATTATAAATTAGACACAAAAATTGTCCACCTCCTTCCTATGTATTGAAACGATACGTTCATACTACAGTAGAAAATAACAATCACGTATATAGCTAGTTAAAAATTAAATAAATAAAAATACATGTACAAATACATGATACAAATACAAAATATAAAATACAAATATCGAGTATGTAATTAGCATTGATAATGGTAATTGTTTCCGAAATACATATCCGTGACTATTCATTAATAATAATATTTTTAATATAGTTTTAATTNATGGTAATTGTTTCCGAAATACATATCCGTGACTATTCATTAATAATAATATTTTTAATATAGTTTTAATTTTATTTAATTAATTAACTAAAAGTGATCAATTTTTATTATAAAACGTAAAAATTTACCACCTTCGTATGTAGCCAGTGATTTAACTTGAAGTAAAATGTTGAGGGGAAGTATTTAGTAAATTATTCTTGAACATGGTTGTGCTATTTATATAAATATAAAGAATGTTCATTAAGTAAAGGAAAGGGATTCTGTTGTGTCCCATTGTTTGTTATTATTGAGCTATTTCCTTACTTTTTGAGCACTCTGTATAATAAATTTATATCTAATTTAATATAAAATTAAATTTATATCTATGGATCATTTTGTATGGTTCGGATAATTTTAGAACTATTGAATAATCGTATTTTTCGGATGTTTATTGGAAAATTATACTTTTAGTTTTACTGGCCTGTAACATTTAATATTCCTACAAATTAAAAAAAATAAAACAAATACTAGGTTATTTAATAATATATGTGTTCTTTTAAAATATATTGTTATTTTATTGTCTTGACTTTACTAATGATAAAATTATATATATTATCATTGATAATACCTTGAACCCCCTAGATTACGTCTATGAATGCAGCCAAGAACATTCCAATCAAAATTAACTATAATATAAGAGCATTAATAGCATAGTGAAGGTTACTCTACATACCTTATAATATTTTGATGGCATTTAATACATCCATAAAACAGAGATACATCATTTTTACACTCAATATCATAAGATAAATTTTTTCTCAGATGAATAAATCCGCATTTTATCTGTGATAATGCACCAATATAAAAACAATGAATAGCAACAATTTTTATGTTTGCATAAAATACAATTAAAGTTAATAAAATAGACTTTAACCAATACTCCAAAACATCACTAGCATCAATAAATGGTATTTCCATCTGTACAACAGTATGAATTTTCATTCCATCTTGTGGAACAATTATATCCCAGAATAAAAATAAAGGAATTGTAAGTGCTGCAATAATTACTACAAACAAAAGCAACTTATTTGTCAACCTATAATTTATTTTTCAAAATAAATAAATTTGTATAAACAGGGAAATAAACAGTTTATATAAATATGTCAATATACAATGAAAAGCTCTCTAAATTAAATACACACGAGTATTTAATTCATCCTACTAATTTAAGAATTAGTTTCTAGGGGATTTTTATTTCGATTTTTATAATACTTAACCAAATATCACTTTTCATCTTCTTTACAAAACATTCAATGGGCTGATCATTTTGAAAATTCACTGAGATACATTGTAAATCATTCATTATGTGTTGATTGCGTTTGTAGTTATATCTTTGATACATCGAGTTCAACAATCCAGATAAAGACGAAGCTCCAACGGCAATAGATTTTAATTTATCAAATATTTCGTCCGAATAAAAAACACTACTCGTAATAGCAATAAACCCAAAAAATAAAGTAATATCTACAATATAACAATAATATTGATAATATTTGTTTGTTTTTTCAACGAATAAAGGCATTCCGGCTAATATATTTATTGTTTTTGAGAATTTATTAATATTGTAAAAATACTCATCTGACAAAGGCATCATGGCAGTAATAAAGAACTGATCAACTTTAAAAAAATATATTTTTAGGATGCTAAAATTTACAAATTATAGAACGAACTAAGTAGGTTTTGTATTTATATAGTAGTGAGGAATAATATAAAAATTTTACAAATCTCTCAATAAAACAAAAAATACACGAATATCATTATTTCATTTCATTTTTCTAATAGTACGTATCAATTTTTTCGAGAAATAGAGCATTAATAATTATATAGTTCAAATAAAACTTTTGATTGTATATGTATTCGTATTCGATAATTTAGTTATAATATTATATTGCTTATTCAAACTCTAGGTTGGCAATTTTTAATAATATAGTCAATTGTCTAACTTTTTGATACCTAAAATTATTAAAAATTCAATTGGATGTGACTTCTGTGTATTCTTGTGTAAGTAAATAATATTTTTACATACTACCGAAAAATAAAATAAACCCTTTCAGTCCCGATAGTTATGATATATACATTATATCATAATTGTTATTATGAATTATTTAAGATTTCAATTAATAAATCAAATGACATGGCATGTGTTAAAATATAACAATAAGCTACATATATACTTTTAAATTATTAAAAATATACCAATGTAATTTCGTATAAAAAACATATACTAATAATATAAAAGTAACACGAAATAATAAACAAACGTAATAGTAATGTGTTAGACATAAGGTAATAAATAATGGGTAAATTTACGGAACACACAGTAGAACATTATAAAATATAGATCATTATTGACGAAAATGTATTAAATTACTACAAAACGATTAATAAAGAAATAATGGAAGCATTGGTGATCACTTCTTGCCTTTGAAATGTAATGTAATTACCATCAAATGTAATATAAAAAGTCCAAAATAATGAAAATTTTGGCTCAGATGTTACTCAAATTGTAATAAACAAAAAAAAAGAAAAGGCTAAGGGGGGTAAAGATGGTATTAATGAAATCGTATCTCGGGGTCTAACNTGGTATTAATGAAATCGTATCTCGGGGTCTAACTATATTTATTTATTAAATAATAAAATATCCCTACCTCATTTATTCCTATTTTTGTTTATTGCGTGATTTTTTATAAGTAAGACATGCAAATAAATATACGCACTTACCTTTATTTCCTTTAGTAATTGATTGAGTTGGTTTTATGGTGATTTCTTCTTTCAGTGTTAACTGTCGTTTAT